TTCACCGTTGGATTGCTTTGAGCGTGTAAATAATTGATGTTTAGCTTAGCCGGAGAAAAATGTATCCAGCGAATGCTTTTATGATCAGACTGTTGCCAGGACAGGAGTGTATTCCCATTTTTCGGAGGAAAGGAACAGAAAATTCGAACACACTTTGCCAACAGTGTTGAGCAGGCACTAGTGTTTTCGAGCGAGCGGGTCTCCGTATAATCGCACCGGCGAGACGCGGCTGGGTCCCTGGGGACCTCGGAAAATATTACCTTTAGTTTCGAGGGGAAATAAGCTCTTCTCCTTTCATGTCTCAGAAGTTGATTCTTTTGTTAATTGCCATTAACGATCGTCGGTGGCGGAAAGCACCACACTGTGAAAGTTCTCATTCAATCTCTGTTTAAGTTGAAAAGAGAAACAATAATCATTTTTATCCAACTTTATTAACGACATCGGGATGGATAAAACAGGATTGTAAAGAATTGTTTTCATCAAAAACTTCCGCAGGATCTTGATGTAAAGATTGCGATCCAAGGTGTTTAAATTCGAGAATCGTGGCTCGATGGTGTGCAGCAAATGAAATCTGTACAAATGTCCAATTTTAAAGGAGGTTTAGCCTTGCAAAACACGTTGTATGATTTTATCAATGATAAATGACATGATTCCTTCAATCTTAGTTTCATCGGTTACAGTGACTGGTGCTGCGATCACTGATTGACAAATTGAAAAGGAGAGAAACAATGGTGTGAACATGGACAGTCTGTGGACAAACGAGGTATGTGATTGCCAACTTACACCGTCGATATACTTTATTTCACGACATAGAGGTGAATTAAACCAGAGACTTAAATCATTTTTCAGCTACGATATATACGGGCCATCTTCAAATGGACGTATTAATGCTAAAATGAACTTTGTCTCGCGCAAATCCTATGCACATAGTTCCTTTTAACGTAAATACGTCCAATTATGAAGAGTTTATTCTCTAAAATTCATACTCTAATTTATAAAATCACGAGAGTAACGCGAAACGCCTGATGCACGAAGTACTTCCGGGGAGGGGGGCGTACCCTTTAGTAGCAACTAAAAAACGGGCGGAAATTTTTAGGCAACGCATTCGAGACACGTGCGCTTCTGGTTGCGTCACCGCAACGGAACTCTCAGAAATCTTCCCGAAATAACAGGAGCAGTATCCGTCAATTAAACGTCCCCCACCCCCTCCCGAAAGGGGGAGCCGTCTGTGTTGTGGGCACATTTCAGAACAGCCACTTATCGTTATAGTTGCGGTAAGTTCAGAAGTTCCCCGTTAATTGTCGTATTGCTCCGGGAAGTTTGATCGATAACCGCAACGAACGTAATTAATTTCGAGCGCCTCAAGTATGCCCGCTATGTGACTCGATGGCACGTTTCGAGAGCCGGAGTGAAAAGGTGACGAAATGACGGTCATGGCTGCGTTCGAAGCGGGTCGGTCCTTGCCTTACGACGACGTTGGCTTCGTCCTTTTCGCGGAAAACCTTTGGAAATTCTCAGAGAGGGAAAAATATCGAATACAGGATGCTTCGAAAGTTTTAATAACGCTTTTTAGCGTTTAAGGTGATTCGATGGACGCCATATTTTGTGTCAGAACGGCATGCAATATATCGCATCAATTGGTTCCATTTCTTCATCTACTCGTCATTTTTCTCCAATTTTGAGATCGCAATTCTGTTATCAGGAGACTAAAGCACTCACGTACCAATTTTTACAAAGAAATTCATCGGAATAAAGGCGTGGTTTTTTTTTAGAGAGAAAACATCGCATTCGATACCGATATCGAAACTGTACTCGAATGCGATATTTTCTCTCTAAAAAAACCACGCCTTTATTACGTTGAATTTCTTTGTTAAAATTCGTACGTGAGTGCTTTAGTCTCCTGACAACAGAATTGCGATCTCAAAATTGGAGAAAAATTACGAGTAGCTGAAAAAATGAAACCAATTGATGCGATTTATCGCATGCCGTTCTGACACAAAATGTGGCGTCCATCAAATCACCTTAAATATTAAAAAGTGAGGCGATCTAAGAATAAGAAGGTTACGTTAACATTTTGATAATCGGGTTGAGGCATTCGCAGATTTGTTGGTATCCAGGATATTCTAATGATTGATGCGGCTCAGATTTTTAATGGAGAGACATTAAAGCGAGTTATCTGACGATTTCGGAATCGTTTTAGAAGATTTTCAAAAAAATAGAAAGTCGAGAAATGGAGACAAAAATTCGAATCTGGAGAGAGAGACACGTAGAAAAATCTAAGGAGCTTTGAAATATGCATTGTTTCGTGGGGATCAACCAAGCTTACAAAGGCCTTAATAGAAAAATTAAAAAAAAAGAAGTTTTTTTTTTAACAAAAATTATAACTTTTGTCAAAAAATGAAACTTTCGTCAAAAAATGTAATTTTTCTACGTAGCTAGAAAAAATATCCATAGACCCATCCTGAGCTAGCATCGTGTACTTAAAAAATTAAAAACGCTTACGTTGAAACACAAGGATGACGACGTGAACTATGCCATAAATTTGTCTTTACAAAGTCAATTTAACGCGCAGGATATTAAATTCGAGCTCAAAGCCATCGATACCTGTCTCTAAATTGGCACTTCTAACACGCAAAGCCCTTTGAAATGCAAAGGAAAGCGGAATCATTGAGTTTGGTAGGCGGGGGGGGGGGGGAGGGTGTGGAAGGGATTAAAAAGAGATTCAATTAGTGCCGGCCTCGGCTGCGACTGAATTAAATATACATTATTTTGTTAATTAGTATCCTTAACGAGGGCGAAGACGCGGGAGAGGGGGAGGGGGGTATAAAAACGACAGAAAAAGACGGGAAAAGAAATCAAGCCGTAAGTAAAAGCAGTCAAAGGCCGCGCCCGGCATCCTTTTGTAGCGTCTTTAATAATGAAATTTCTATCCGATATGAGGGTCGAGCCTCGGCGAGGGGACAATAATTGAAGCATCCCTGCACAAAAACATTCTTAATTGGTCGCTTCGGTGCGGCCGCTAATTTTTGAGTAAACTTGAGGCCCCTCGCCGAGAGCTCAAAGTTAAATTGTTTCGCGGAGGGGGGGGGGGGGGAGGCGAAAGAAATCAGCTCGGTTGCCTTGTTGTATCGGATGGACTTTATACTGTACATACAGAGTGATTCGCGATTAATACTGCACTGAAAAATAAAATTCTCGGCGTTTTTACCAAGGTCCGTTGGTACCTTTACCATCTCACTTTTTACCAATTATTCGTAATTTTGCCAAGAGAGACTGGTAAGCTTACCTAAAAACCGGTATTTTTACTGTTTTTTTTTTCAGGTAAGAATACCACTTTTATTGGTAATCAACTTTCGGTAACTTTGCCATTTTATCTCGGTAACTCTACCACAGTCGATAAAAAATATTGGCGTTTTTACCAAGGTCCAGTAAAATTACCGAGAAAGTTCAATAATTTTACCGAGATTTTTCGGTAAAATAACCACTTCCATAAACGGTAATTTTACCAGGAAAAAACTGGGATAAAATAGAACCCGGAATTCTTGGTGATTTTACCCCTTTCTTAGTAAATACACAGTAATTCTACCACAGTCGATAAAAAATATTGGCGTTTTTACCAAGGTCCGGTAAAATTACCGAGAAAGTTCAATAATTTTACCAAGATTTCTCGGTATAATTACCAATTCCATAAATGGTAATTTTACCAAGAAAAAACTGGGATCAATAGAACCCTGAATTCTTGGTAATTTAACCCTTTTCTTAGTAAATACACCGAGATTTTTTTTTCAATGTGAGGATTTCAGGAGCACACGAGGAAGCATCTACGGTCATAAGGGCCGAGTTTTGGTTCATGCGGTGCACCAAAGTTTTCGGTAAAAAGTAAGTATCTTATTTGTATGACTGGCCGACAAAAATTCTTGATGCCCGAATAAAAGTTTGGTTTTTAAAACCAAGGACTTTGATTACATATTTGGATAAAAAACTTTGGGACTTTGGTGTGCCATACGAACCTCGGTTTTTTTTTTCTCTCTCTCTCCTCATCTTCTCCCTTTTTTTTCGAATAGAGGCGACATCTATGGCTAGACTCGGGGATGTGCCGTTGATAAATCTTTTAATTCATGGATTTAGATTGAAAAACTAATCGGAATCATTTCTCAGAACTTTTCTCAATTTTTCTTCTCGGGTTTGAGATTATTTTGTAAATATTTTGAGTGATGCAATTGCCTCATTTCTCTTCAAAAAATAAATGAAATAGGAGCGCGGATTTGAATCACCACAGCAAACCCGATAGCTAATTTCAATATTTGTCAAAACCAGTCAGCCAGTCAATCCCTCTGATGTGTATTTTACTACTGACATTAATATGATTATATTGTAAAACGTTATAATTCTCAACCTTTTTATGATTTTGGAATCTTAGAAAACGCCACGCCGTACAAAAACTCTATAAGAGTCGACTCTAGATACATCAAACTTAATAATAAGGAAAAGTGGCTATAGGCGATACCCGGATGAAATAGGTATATAGGCATAACGAATGTTACTATCGATTCTCGATAACACAGTGTCCTCCAGTACAAGGAGAAAAATTAATTGTTGCTTTAGCATTTATAATGTTAAAAAAATGTGCGACGAATATAAATGCCAATTTTACAATTTAAAAAATGCTACGTTAACTACGTCCACGGTTATATGAACAAATTTATTGGTGAGTTAGCATTTATTTAACTGTAAAATGAGCATTTGATACTTGTTGCACATTTCTTTAACTGTATAAATGTTAAATCTACTTTCAATTTTTTTCCGTGTGCAGATCGATTGCTTTATACATAAATGTTGAGGGAAAATACGTAGTCTGCCACCTGGCAGAAGTGCCACTGATCCTGAATCACCCTGTACACTTCGATTAAACGAAGTGTCGAGAGAGCTGGCAAAGGTGGGATATTTGCGGGTTCGGTAAAAAGAGTCGTTTTAATTATGATAAATTAATCAGTACTTACAAAGCGAGTGTAAAATCACGGGCACAAACGAATGTTATCCGCGCTCCGTTCCTGCAAAAAAAGAGAGAACAAAGTTTCGTTAAAAAACTTGTCGGGAAGACTCGGGAGGGAGAACGAGAATTTTATGAGACTCGAGAGTATTTTTTCGAAATTAAAAATTGCAGAAACTTCAAACTTCTTAGAAGTAATGTTTATGTTTGCAGCTCGGAGGAGCCGTGTTTTCAGGTTGAACTCCTGACTTTCGTCACCGAGGATTTCCCAAATAAAGTTTTAAATTAATTGCGTTTAAAAAATTCATCGCCGACCGTCAGCCAGGAATTAGATACCATCATCGGGGGGAAAACGAGTTCTGTTTTCTCCTGCAGATGCGTCATTACCAAGGAAAATGGCCTTTAGGAGAATCGCGCAACTTTTCAGCACTGTCCGTCGAATTTTTTAAATCGTTGATATTAAATCTAAATTACGGTTCATTAGAGCACAAGGAAACCGCGCTAATAGGAAATGGGGACGAGAGTGTTGGCCTCCCTGCGTTGGAAATTTGACCTTAAAATGGAGGAATTTTGATCAATTTTCGTTTTACATTTTTTGAAATTTTTGACTTACTAGTGGGTACGTCCCCTGCAGGGCCGGATTCACCTACTTGCCGCCCATGGGCCGCCTATATTTTTCCCTTCTCATTCGTTTTGAAACTCGATAAAAACCATCAAATGAACATGCCAGCGGGGGAGAAGGGGTTCAAAAGACGCATTTATTCGTGTTGAACACATTTTGTAGGAAAGCCCTGTCAACACTACTAGCAAAAGTTCACAGAACTTTGCGCGAAAGTTAAGTTCCGTAAACCTATCTCTGTGGGGCAATGCCTTTCATTCATAGGAATGAACGAAAAAATTATGAAAGGACAAACATAAATGTGGTTCAATGATTTTAACTTCCGCCGCCGCGCCGCGAAGACCGCACCGAGTTTGGCGCAATGCGTGAAGTATTCACGCAGTCTTGTAGGCGCTAATATGCGTTACATGCAAATCGTCGTGCGGAGGGCTTCTCCTTTTCATCTCAAGTCCTCGTTATCATTTCTCTCTGAGTCGCGCCGTTCTAGGCCAAATTGCGTGTTTGATTTCTCTCGTAACTCGACGTATTGATGGTGCTGTCTCTTGTATCACTAAGAGACGACAAAATGAGAATTTACTCTCAGGAAATTACAGATTTTGTCGCCTTTTCTCGTTTGTAATTTTGTTTTTATAAATCCGATTTTTTTTATATCTACACTTTAAAAAATTGCAAATTTTAGCCGCCCCTTAGATTTGCCGCCATGGGCCGTGGCCCATGTGGCCACCCCCTTAATCCAGCCCTGGTCCCTTGACCCCTAGGCGGCCCAACCTCCCCAAGGGCGCTTTGAGGACCTCTCATGGGTTAAAATAGTATGAAATAAAGCAAAGCTCTAAAAATAACAATTCATTGGCGACCATAATGATGATTATGGGGAGAACCGGTTCATTCATTATCGGTAATTCCTATCTATTCCTAAAGTATTTAATTTTTTTATGATTCTTGTGTGAGAGGGTTATTTGTCTCCCTCTGATTTTCGAAATTTGATAATGGAGACCTGACACACAGACTCGCTCTCGTTCCTGTACTCAGTCTGTTGATGCTAGTTGGTTGCCTTCACGTCAAATTCATTTTTTCAAGGGTTTAGTGTGATTTGTAAAGGTGTCTGAAACTACTCTCGGAGCACAATTAGTCGTTGAAAGTATGTTAAAACTCACCGAGACGAAAAGAAACCTTGAAAAAGTGTCGGAACAAAAAGGCAATTAGCTTTTTGTTCATGTGATTACGAGCGCAACGCGAAAAGGTGGCGCGAAAAAGAAGGGATTAAATCGTTATGCAATCTTTGTCTCGCCTTATGCAGGGGCACATTACTCGAGAATGCAAGATAGTTGGTCCTTCGGAGCGCATTGCATAGAGGTTGTCCAGTGTCTGCAAATATTCCAGCGTATTCCGGGCATTAAAATAACTGTTCCTGATGTAAGCGTGCAGGAAGTTAGCAATGAGGAAGTCTTAGATGTGAAATTGCCCCGAATTCGTGTTTCGTACATGTTTAACAGATATAGAGGCTTGCGCGGAAAACATGAGATAGGGAAAAGAGGAAGAAAACATAAAATACGTGTTTTATTAGAGAATTTACTCAGCCCAGGCTATCGTGACAGCATGGACGCATCAAACTTGATCAAAACATAAGTTCGACGAAATTGACGTTTAACCAAGGTGACGTCATAAATCTACGTTTCGTAGCTTACTTTCAAATTAGCATTTTCATGATGACATCGCGCGCGGCTAATGATTATCTCGTGTCTATTGCCCGGTTTGCCTAACCGTTTCAACTCATTGCGTCCACGTGATTAAAAAACAAATGGGTAAAACCCTTAAACACTGGGAAAAAAACACATTGGATCTAGAGTCCAGACTCTTAAAAACATCGACAAGAAAAAGTACTCTTGATTCAATCAGAATCTAGCTTAAATCAAGAACCAAGTCTCTTAATTTAAGCGGATTTCGTTTTGATTCAAGCAAAAATCCGATTGAATCAAGAGTATTTTTTCTTGTCAATGTTTTCAAGAGTCTGGACTCTAGATCCAATGTGTTTTTTTCCAGTGAATTGAAGGCTAGGTAAAAACACTGAAAATTCGTCGATTCTTCCATTTCCTACTCTGAAGGTACCTACAGACAACTTTAGGCGGCCAAATATCAATTTATTGGACCTTCGTCCATTTTAACCCTCATTTTATGAATAACTTTCCCTGTAAATACAGGAAAAAAATAAAGAAAATAAAAATAATTTCCGAAAATTTCGGACTTAACCACCTCAAAAAGTTTCGAAAACAAAACTTTCAAGAAATTCGGATAGGCTTTTCTTTCTTACTATACTCCTTCTCATCAAGAATCGGTAAAAAATCCATCAAGCACAGAGACTAGTACTTATGGATCCCAGGAGTAGGATTGAAATCCTTCCCTGGAGCGCGCTAAAGGGAGGTTAGCGCGCTGTGTCCTCTCTCGCAATCTAATCGTGAGTAAGCAGATTCCTCTTCCGTCAAAAAAGAAAGAAAGAAAAAAAAAAAACTGCACTCACCAAATTATATTGCTAATTAGGACCTTCTTTTTTGAGGTCGAACTTTTCTCGATCGAGTCGTATTTTCGAGTTGTTTTCCGTTGCTTGGCATCCAGATGAATCAGTGTCTAATGCAACAGAATCGATCAGAGAAACTCGCCAGTGGCGTGGCGTGAATTGCGATGTATCGATTGTTATGTCATTTAAACCTATGGTAAAGAATCGATTATTAAGGTGTTCGCTGCGAACACCCTGTTTATCGATCCTTTTCCATAAGTTTAAATGGCAGATCAATCGATATATCGCAATTCACGCCACGCCACTGAAAGTCGCTATATTATTTGCTCGGACATTATTTTTTTCTTTAAGCAGGGGCATGGCAACCTCTCGGGGCACCCGGGCCATTTTGCATACATAAAGGCTGGCATGAGTTTCCTCTAAATTAGACACTGCAGCTGTAAATGGCATAATTAAACGAGGAACCATTAACAGTTTCAGCGTTTACTCCGACACTGCTGAAGCAGCCCGGCTGGCGAGCCTAAGTTCTGGGAAAACGACAGAGGGACCTGGGAAATTGGGAGGGGGTGGGGGAGGGGGAGGGGGCGCCATGATTAAAGCAGAAAAACTGCCCCAGCCCCGGCACCGGCTCGGCATAGGGGCAGCGCATCGTCGGATTTTCTCGCCCTCGTTCTAGGGGTAGCTTTTCCTCATAAACATGGTGACAAGTTTCCTTGAATTTTAAAATTTCCTCATTTTACCCTTGACATAACAATGTTCTGAATCAGAAACTTCCCGATTCTGTAAGTGCGTTTACTTTAAATTGAACCTTCATTGTAAAAAATTCAGTTTTATAAGATGATTGCTTTCTAAAAATGGAGTCGATTAGGTAATTGAATTTTACACAAATTTGAATTAATAAATCTTAAAAATAAAATTAAACGTGAGTAATCATAAAAATGGTGCATCTTCATCGGTGTAACTAAAAACTTGGGAATTTTCTTGAATAAAAATTGTATTATTAATTCCAATGCCAGTAATTATTGGAATTAAAGAATTAGAGTAACAATATTTTTAAATTTCAGAACGATGTTTATTGTAAAATTTTAAGAAAATTCCTAATTGTTAAGATATCTCTACAATTTACTACGGAAAACACCCCTCTGAATGAATTAGAACAATAAGAGAACTAACTATAGTCGAACGCAACTTTCAAACTTTGCAATGCAGCTACGTTCTTCAGCTTATATTCCACAGATCCCCAAACTGATCCATTTGCTTTCGTGCGTTTTGTGACTAACATAAAAAACGAAAATTTTGATTTTTCCGTCAATTAGACAACCCAGTTAAGTTTTTTTAACAGATGAGTCAGCTGATAGGGGAAGTCTCAGTGGATATTACTTTTTTCTTTCTTTCTGTATTTAAATTAACTTTAGGCACTTTAAGACTGTCTCAATTTGACGTCGTGTGATTGAGTGGAATATATCCTTTGAGAAAACATTCCCTCATTCGCGCGTTCAAGTCATCTTAAAACTTTTATCATTTACCATCACTTCAAGCTGGTGATTCGAAATTTTAAATACATTTTTCGTTACATTATGTTCCACTTCAATAATTTCCAGAGATATGTATTGCGAAATTTTAAAATGGATCACTTGACGGGGTTTAAGAGTAAGCACCACCGATATGTTCATTCATCGAAAATGTATACCCAAATACTAAATACAGTCTAATTTTGATAAAATTTCTGAATCTCTGAAAATATGCCTCAAGGAATTTCACGATTTCAAACAGGAGATCTCGCCAACCTGCGAATGACATCGCCGCCGAATCGGTCCATCGGTGGAGAAAAGAAGGGAGATTCTCTACGAATGGAGGCCACGGCAGTGTACGTTGGCTGGGGTCGTGGCTGGGGCGCACAGTGGAACGCGCCATCGGGAAATGTTGGACA